TACGTCCCAAACGCCCGCTACGCCCGCCCGCCCACAAATGGACGACCGTTCCCGCCGCTCTAATAGATTCATGCTAAGCAAATCATAAAGCGAAAGGATTGGTATGAAGCGGCCGTGATGCTGCATGGATATATGAGTACACATATGCAGCCGTATCATCGGTAGCGATGATTGGTAAGATGCCTACGGGAAACTCGTCCGAAGTCGATTTACAAGTCACTGAATGGAGGCTTTTTCTTCGCAGGATTTTGACCGTTTCACTCCGATCTTTCGCCATTTCCCCACTATACAGCGCCCTAATATTTTAGACTAACTAGAAAACCCAACGTGCCAACTGCCTTTAAGGACATTCCCCGAGCTCGACCAATCCGTCGGTTTCCCCCCCCTATTGCGACAACAAAAGTGCCGCGCAGTCCTCCCCTCTCAAAAGGCAGATCGTGACAATTTTTTTTTTTTTTTTGCTAAATGATATCGTTATATGACGCGGAGAAACAACTAGTGGGCCAGAGGCGGCAGGATATCGACCTACTGGCATAAAACGAGCAGGCCTGAAGAACTCGTCCAGAGAGGCTGCCAGGTTCCTACTTAGGATGTTCTCCATAATTTTTTCTTGCAGTACTACGTAATACAAGATACAAATCAAAATAAAAACAATACACTTACTCAAAGTGGTCTGCTGCATTTGTCCTAATCCCAACTGTGTTCCAACCTGTGGTTGCTGTTGTGCTTGCTGCAAACCCACACTCTGCCTGAAAGATAGAGTTTTTATCAGGAGGGAAGGAAGAAAAGATAGTAGGATGCAGCATTCCGTGTTGACAGATCCTTCTTGGTACGCGCCATGCATCCATTACTTACTTTGAATTATGGTGACATTTGAAGGAGATCTCGTGTAAAGCCACCAGCAATCAGCAATGTGCAAATAACCGTTTTTATACTCTTTCCCCTGCCCTGATACCGATTACCAGACACTTTAACTTTAACAGGAAAAAAGGCTTGTTTGACGAAACTACGAACCAAAACTGTGCTAACATGTTCATTAAACCGTGTAACAACTGGTCACCAAGCGACGCCGCGCCCCTTTTGGCAGACGACGACCGCAGCCATCAATTCCAGCGTCACCTTTTTCACCATTCTCCCCACTCGCTTGTACACTACCTTACCGCATGGGGTCTCTAAGAACTCTGAAGGAGCAGTAAACACCATGAATCGAGATCTTGTGAAAGACGCAGATCCAACTAGATAGTTTACGTTCGAACACGAGAGGAAGAGCGCGAAAAGTGCGACGCTGCAATCGATTCTGGCAGCACAATAAGCTCTGAAGTGCTACAACGTTGCACAGGGACGAAATACTATACACATCATCACCCCGTTTTCGGCAGTGAGCACAAAATTGATCATCAGAAAAGCGAAAACGAAGTAATAACTTACAAGTACTGTTGCGTGGTCATCGGCGCTGTCGACTGAACGCCGATAGTGGACTGCTGTTGTTGCACGGCCTAAAAACACGTAAGCTTAACACTTTCATTGAAGTAACCAGTCGGATCACTCGGCGAGGCAGGGCAATCCTCGTTCTGCGTGGTGAGTGAGTATACCCAAGACATTTTCGACTGAGGGTCAATCGGATCGCACGGCTTCGACAAGCGATCCTTGTCTACGCGTGAAGTAGGTACCCTCCCCCCCCCCGCCCCGGCATCTTCGACTAAAGGCCGGTCGGATTCCTTCGCCTCGCCGGGCTCGGAACCGAGCTATGAAGTTTCGCAGAAACGCACCCAATGCACGCCCTCCCCCACCACCGCGCGTGCTGCAGGACCTATTCCTCTCGGACTACTATCGACTGCGAGCTTTAACGACGAACAAACGGATGCAGGGCTCTCTGATCAGCCAGTAAATGCAGGTTGCTTCTCTCAATATAGCTCACCGTGGCATATTGTAGACCTTGTTGTTGCGGTTGCACATTTACCAATCCCTGCTGTATCGGTGCTCCTACCGTTCCATACACAGCTGTCGGCTGATTGGGAAGATAGGTCGTTTGCTGAGCGGGAACAGCTCCGATTTGTGGCACAGCTGCAACCTGCTGTACTTGCTGTACTTGTGGAGGAGTGGCTGCGGCATAGGGCGCCTAAATGTTGGCAAATTTTTTGAGCACAAAAAAATCGGAACCTCAAATATTGTGCAGTCCCAGAGTTTTGAGACTATGTAAGTGTTGTAAGTGACGCAATAGGCTCAAAATATATTTATCATGAAATACTCAAAAGTATCAATAGAAACCTAGAAGCCCCTGGTTTGTTTCCGGATTTTTCGGTGCCTAGCCTCAACGACCTGACATACATCTGTAGGGCTTGTTTGAGTAGACATTAAATGAGCATCCCACATGGCTCTGCCTCCTTTGCGGTGTAGCAACCTTCATAGATGCCCAGTTAGCAATTAGAGTTGAACAATGCAAAAGTCAGGTAGCTGAAGATGGTCGGAAACAAATCAGAACTTTTTAGTTTCTTCCGAGACTTTCTAGTTTATTACGATAAATATTTTGGTGGCCTATTTGTGATATTTAGAACATCCAAAACTGATTTTATTGTGGCTCTGCTTTCCTTTTGCTTGGCACTATTTCTAGCTAAGAAGACTGTGATTAGATTAATTATCTGTTAGAGCTATGATGACCTTTCAAGAAGACAGCGACCTACTTTCAATGAGTACGGATGATTTCCACCGATAGCTGCAGGCTGGGTATACGCTTGTGGCTGGGGAGCGAGGTAGGGAACGGCAGCCGAAGAAAGCCTGAATCAGATCAAATCATAACGGAGTTTTTTTTATGTAACACGTTACAGAAGTGAATTCCCTGGAACGTAGCGACCCGATGTTACCGAATATCATAACGCCGCGATAATACGATTGCGAATCAGCATAAACCATCGACATTATCGTGCTCACGCGACGCGACTAATGTTGAGCGAAAAACGGTTATTATCGATTGTAGAATGAAACGACGACTACGACTTCTACCTGTCGCTTTATAATTAGAAGTAGACAAAACTACAGTCGTAGTTCTATAGTGAAGACATACACTGTAGTCTAAACAATCTAGTGCAGACGTTGAAAACCATATCGATGTGTGCGTGTGTACATGATTGCATCGCCGCATTGGTTATCAAGAAACGCACGATCAACGAGAAAAAGAAAAACGATACGAAAACGGATCTAATGCGTCAGCGAAGTCTCATCCTATTGTGCTCACCGATTAACTAAAATGTGATAAAGATACATGCTGATGATGAAGACATGTTGTCGAAAAACTTTTCCGTAAGGAAGCTATAGGAAGGAACGCAGTACGAAGATTAACAGCTAAGAATGTTTAAAGGAGACGTCATAAGTAAGACTGTTCTTGAATCGGTCTCGCGATTGACACGATTTGCGAGATTG